ACTGCTGTACAGGGACACCAGAGACTGCGGACAGTACAGGGGACAGAGTGCGGACAGTACAGGGATGACCAGAGACTGCGGACACAGTACAGGGATGACCAGAGACTGCGGGACTGGACAGTACAGGGATGACCAGAGACTGCGGACACAGTACAGGGATGACCAGAGACTGCGGACACAGTACAGGGATGACCAGAGACTGCGGACACAGTACAGGGATGACCAGAGACTGCGGACACAGTACAGGGATGACCAGAGACTGCGGACACAGTACAGGAGATGACCAGAGACTGCGGACACCAGTACAGGGGATGACCAGGGATGAGACTGCGGACACAGTACAGGGATGACCAGAGACTGCGGACACAGTACAGGGATGACCAGAGACTGCGGACACAGTACAGGATGACCAGAGATGACCAGAGACTGCGGACACAGTACAGGAGATGACCAGAGACTGCGCGGACACAGTACAGGAGAGATGCGGATGACCAGAGACTGCGGACACAGTACAGGGATGACCAGAGACTGCGGAGTACAGGGAGTACAGGGACATGACCAGAGACTGCGGACACAGTACAGGGATGACCAGAGACTGACTGCGGACACAGTACAGGGGATGACCAGAGACTGCGGCGGACAGTACAGGGGATGACCAGAGACTGCGGACACAGTACAGGGATGACCATGACCAGAAGACTGCGGACAGTACAGGGATATGACCAGAGACTGCGGACACAGTACAGGGATGACCAGAGACTGCGGACACAGTACAGGGATGACCAGAGACTGCGGACACAGTACAGGGGATGATGACCAGAGACTGCGGACACAGTACAGGGATGACCAGAGACTGCGGACACAGTACAGGGATGACCAGAGACTGCGGGACAGTACAGGGATGACCAGAGACTGCTGGACACAGACAGTACAGGGATGACCAGAGACTGCGGACAGTACAGGGATGACCAGAGACTGCGGACAGTACAGGGGATGACCAGAGACTGCGGACAGTACAGGAGATGACCAGAGACTGCGGACACAGTACAGGGATGACCAGAGACTGCGGGGACAGTACAGGGAGATGACCAGAGACTGCGGACAGTACAGGGATGACCAGAGACTGCGGACACAGTACAGGAGATGACCAGAGACTGCGGGACAGTACAGGAGATGACCAGAGACTGCGGACAGTACAGGGGATGACCAGAGACTGCGGACAGTACAGGGATGACCAGAGACTGCGGACAGCACAGGGATGACCAGAGACTGCGGACAGCACAGGGATGACCAGAGACTGCGGACAGCACAGGGATGACAGAGACTGCGGACAGCACAGAGATGACCAGAGACTGCGGACAGTACAGGGATGACCAGAGACTGCGGACAGTACAGGGATGACCAGAGACTGCGGACAGCACAGGGATGACCAGAGACTGCGGACAGCACAGGGATGACCAGAGACTGCGGACAGCACAGGGATGACCAGAGACTGCGGACAGCAGTACAGGGATGACCAGAGACTGCGGACAGTACAGGGATGACCAGAGACTGCGGACAGCACAGGGATGACCAGAGACTGCGGACAGCACAGGGATGACCAGAGACTGCGGACAGCACAGGGATGACCAGAGACTGCGGACAGGCACAGGGATGACCAGAGACTGCGGACAGCACAGGGGATGACCAGAGACTGCGGACAGCACAGGGATGACCAGAGACTGCGGACACAGCACAGGGATGACCAGAGAGACTGCGGACAGTACAGAGATGTTGAGACTGCGGACCTTTGGGGAGGGAGGGGGAGCGGGTACCTGAATTTGACAGGTACCCGCTCTTACTTCCGCAGAGAGTTTTTTTTTTTTTTTATCTTACCTGTTCCTCGATCCAGCCGCGCGCTGTCTTCCCGGCTTCTGTAGTGTGGGCGCTCGTCGGACAGCCGGATGCCCAGTGCGCATGCGCGAGAAGCGCTGCGCTTTGTGATTGGTCCGGCGGCTTTCTGGGATCTGTCATGTGTCCCAGGTACCGCCTTACCATTCACAAAACAGCACTGCTTCTTGTGCATGCGCCGCTGGATTCTCCTGGCGTGCCCACAGATAAGGCTCGGCGTGCCGGCTGTGGCCACGCGTGCCACGGTTCGCCATCACTGGTCTAGACTATCGTAGCTGTTGAAACAATGATAAGATTCTCTTATAGTTTTCCAGTAGTCTTAGAAGAGATTGAAGTCTAATAAAACAATTATATTCTGTTTTAATTAGTAATTATTAGCTTGATTAAAGTGGTATTAAACCTCCAAAACAAAAATGTATTCTATTGAAGTTTTCCAGTCCTTAACCAATTCAATACCGGGCAATTTTACACACCTCCTGCCCAGGCCAGTTTTCAGGTTTCAGCGCTCTCACACTTTGAATGACAATTGCGTGGTCATACAACATTGCACCCAAACTAAAATTTTATCATTTTCTTCACACAACTAGAGCTTTCTTTTGGTGGTATTTAATCACCACTGGGGTTTTTATTTTTTGCTAAATTAACAAAAAAAGACCAAAAATTTTGAATTCATAAATTTAGACCGATATGTATTCTGCTACATGTCTTTGGTGAAAATAACCCAAATTAGGATGTATTTTTTAGTTCGTAGGAAAGTTATAGAGTTCACAAACTATGGTATAGATTGAATATTGATCAATCCTGAAGTATGACAGCCAATCTAATTTCTTGAGGTCCAAGAATGTCAGAATAGTACAGATATCCCCCAAATGACCCCTTTTTGCAAAGTAGACAGTCCGACGTACTTCATAAGAGGAATGGCGAGTTTTTTTAAGTTGTATTTTTTTGGTCATAATTTTTCGGAAAAATTAAAAAAATTAGTTTCACTATTTTTTTTTTTTTTTACATTTTTTTACATATTGTCACCAGTGCAGTACAGCATCATCATATAATTGGCATGGCGGTGATCATGGGACACTGACTTGTGACAGTATGAAAAAAAAAAAATAATATTTTTATATATTTTATTTTTAATTTTTTTATTATTTTTTATTTTTTGTTTAATTTTTTTTCTTTTTTTTTAAGATTTTTTTTTTTCATATTTTCACTATGACCAAAGTAGTACAATGTTACCATAGTAACATTGTACAACTTTGGGGGGAAGTGATCAGTATTTTTTTTTTTTTTTTTTTTTTACACAGTTTGCTTATAGCAAAGGATTATTTTGCTATAAGCAAGCATTTACCTAAATGACATCGATTCATTCAGGGTTTTTTTTTTTTGGGGGGGGGGGGGTTTTGTTTGTGCTTAGCTGTGATTTGGCCACAGCTAATCACATGACATGTGCATGTGATTAGCTGTGACATTCACAGCTAGACACTAGTATACAAATGGATGGCATGAATGAAGCCATCCATTGTATTACAACTGTCATGTGACCTGCTGTGATTGGTCACAGCAGGTCACATGGTACCGGCAACGGGGCCCATACTCAGATCTGTCATCGGCCATGTCCGAAGGGTACATGGCCGGGTGACAGATCGTGCCGCTCTGCAGGAGCGCAATCTGTGCATGTGCGGGAGGACACCATATGGCATCCACCCGGAACGCAGATGACATTTGCGCCCGCCATTCGGCCATAGGGCGGGCGGCAAAATGGGTAAATGTGGGTGGATGCATTTTGTTTACTTTACCCTGGTCCCTGTAAGTGGTAAATGGATTGTCACAGCACTCTCTCTTTTTTCTTGAACAGGTTGGTCCAGGAATAGCCAGATCACTGGGTGAAAATGATAAAAAAAAAGCCTAAAAAAAGTAAACTAACATAGCCACCACATCTAAGAACTGGCAAACTGTGTATATAGTAAATGTTTGTTTTGGGGTTTAATACATCTTTAACCACTTGCCCTCCAAAGGATTTACCCCCCTTCCTGACCAGGCCACTTTTTTGGATTACGGCACTGAGTTACTTTAACTGACAATTGCCGTGGTCATGCAATGCTGCTCCCAAATGAAATTCACGTCCTTTTTTTTTCCTCATGAATAGAACTTTCTTTTGGTAGTATTTGATTGCCTGTGTGGTTTATACTTTTTGTTCTTCAAAAGAAAAAGCCCGACAATTTTAAGAAAAAAAACAATATTTTTGACTTTTTGCTATTTAACATGTCCAGTAAAAGAAATGTAAAAAATCTAAATTCCTCATAAATTCAGGCCAAAATGTATTCTGGCCTCTATCCTACTTTCTACCTAGTAAACCACCATTTATTTCCTCCATCAACTCATCCCTCCACAGCTATTACCTTTTGTATCACTCAGCCCTTCCTCCTAGATTGTAAACCCTAACAAGCAGGGCCCTCTGTTTTCTCTTGTACCAAATTATATTGTAACTGTAATGTCTACCTTCATTTTGTAAAGCGCTGAGCAAACTGTTGGCACTATATAAATGTAGTATAATATAAATAATAATAAATTCTGATACATGTCTTTGCTGAAAAAAAATCCCAATACGTGTAAATTCATTAGTTAGTGAAAGTTATAGCATTTACAAACGGCGGTATATATACTGGGCATTTTTTTTTTATTTTTTAATAGTAATGGCAGTAATCAGGGACTGCGGCAGGCATTCTGACACTGGGGGACTGACTTGGGTGTCACTGACATCCCCAGTGACACCAATACAGTGATCAGTGCTAATTAAAAAGCACTACACTGTACCAATGACACTGGGCATGAAGGGGTTAACATGTGGGGCAATCAAAGGGTTAACTGTGTGCCATTTTACAGTGTGTACTGTGTTTGTGCTTCACTGGAAGCACACTGCTTTGCATGGCTTCTCTTGCGTTGATCAAAAAGCTGCTTTTTTACATTATTAGAAGCAAATCTGGCTGTCAGGGCTCCCAGGTTGACCAGAGGTGTGGTGACTGGACGCAGGGAAAACGCAGACCTTCAGATATGTGATAAACAATATAATTTATTAACACTAACCTTACAAAACATAAAACCGCAGTGCAATACTAAAACAATAAATACAGTGCAAAAACAAACCAAACCAACCCACCCACAGATAACAGTACATACAAGCAAGCGTCGTCAGGCAGGGCCGGGTCAATATCAATAGGGCAGGTAGGGTACAGGTGGGGGAGCAAGCGGAGATGGGTCGGGGTAACAGGCCAGGTTCAGCAGGTAGCTAGCAGCGTAGTACAGAGGGTCAGGCAGAGGGATGGTCAGGGTCACAAGCCAGGGATCAGAACAGGTAGGCAAGCAGCGTTGGTTACAGAGGGGTCAGGCAGAGGGGATGGTCAGGAGCGAGCCGGGACCGGCGTTCAGAGCAGGAGGAAAGGTCAGCAGCGGTTCTCAGATTCAGGCAGGGTCAGCAATTGGAACAGAAACAGGATGCAGGGACAGATACAGGGCCCGGACAAAAACAAAACCAAGGCAGGCTTAATCTGGCCCCTCCCCTTAAATACACAGTATACAGTTCCCGGTGTTAGTGGCTGAATTAGTCCTTCAGGG